AGCACATCAGTCCATAGTGAGTGGTGTTTACTGCTGTAAATCCTGAGGACAGCCCTGTGCCAATGCGAGACCCTCTGCCAACATTTCTGTTGGCCTAAGACAAAAATCTCCATGTTTCCTGACATCCTACTAAGGTCAGGGGAAGACGCTGCTGCTTCTCTGGACAATAGAGGTGAGTACCAATAAACTGAGCTGATGTTCTTACTTTTAAAAAGGAAGAAGCAGTGGTGTGCCTGTTTTATGACTCCTGGAGCTTTTCAGGCTTTTAAAGACCATAAAGAAGCGAACGGGGCACAAACCATGTCTCTTGACCTCACAAATGCCTGAAGAGGAGGAGGACTGTCAGTGGCTCTCAGTGCTTTAGGCTTTTAGACCTGTAACCTGGGCAAACTGGTATAGGGAGGAGTGATGCAGGGCAGAACACCGGGCATGTGAGCTCCTCAGACACATCCTCTTCAGGCAGGCAGAGGACTCCCAAACCTCCAGCTTTGGAGCTTTAGAAAGGTGCTTGATCCCTGCGTAGAAAGCTGACATGGCCCAAACAGAGCTCTTCTCCAAATCCACGCTGTTGGTGTAAATGCTGGAGATGTGAGGACGTGGGCAGGTGTGCATCTATAACACTAGAGCACCAAACCCCACCCATTCCCAGCTGTAAGGGGTGTGTGTTTTGTGGGAGATGTGAATATGTAGTTTCAAAACTGAGTTGCAATAGTGCAGCAGGTTTGACAGCAAATTAGTGTCAATCCACTGCTTGGTGTTTTGTTTTACAACTTGCTTTGAGTGGTGTTGCTGATACTCCTTGAAGTCTGTTCTTGCTGGAGTCCATGGCAGTGTGGATCTGCTTACAAGGCCTGTTCTCAGCCACCAAAATTGGCTCTGAGGGCAAGGACCCGGCAGGTGTCCTGGTGGGCTTGGGGGATGTTACCTGGGGACAGCTGAAGAGCACAGTGTGGTGGCTCAGCAGGAGTGTCCCCTAGGCACAACGGAGGCTCCTGGGAGCATTGGATACTGCACTATTGCCTCTGTGTTCCCAAGTGACTCTTTAGCTCTGATGATGCAAACTCCTTCTCTGAGAACACTGGTGTGGTTTTCCTGCCGCATATTGTTGCCTGTTTGTACAACCCTGTGGATGGGTGTTGGTTGAAGATGGAGGAGAAGGTGCTTGCTGGCAGCCTGCTCTCAGAGCTTTACCTGACTAACTGGAGGCTAAGGAAAGCCAAAGTGCAGTTCAGCCTCTGCATTACACAGTCATCGAAAGCTTTCTGAGGCAGGAAGCCTGGGGAGAAGTAAAATCAGCAGCTCCACTGACAGCATGAGTCTGTTCCACTGGGCAGTGGGAGCTTTGGGCTCCCCAAGCACCCTTCACCACTTGGAGACGTGCATCAGCAGTGAGAGCCTGGGCTGTGCTCCCTTCCTACCCCGTGCAGCCCAGGCTCCCACAGCCGTATCTCTTCTGGTTCTCTGCATGCCCTGGCTGGGTTTGTCCCACTGTGACTCCCTCCTGGCAAAGGTTGACAGAGAGCAGGGTCCAGCACCAGTGAACAAACTTCCTTTGCTGTCTCAGATGACTGGTTCTCCCTGAAGGCTGCTGCCTCCCAATGCTCGCTCACCCTCCTGTGCAACACATCCCAGGGAGGCTTTCCCCCCCCCTTTTATTTTTCCTTCTTTTGTTTATATAGGAAAAGCCTGGACCAGGCCAGGAGGGGAGGCGGACTGGCAGCTCCCTGGCTCAGGCAAGCCCCGCAGCATCCCACAGCTCTTTGTCAGAGCTGGTTTCCCCCATCCTTGCAGCACAGATCTGTTTTTATCAGATGGGACGGGTGCCTGCACCGGGGCTGTCGCGACGGTGGTGCAAGCGCTGCAGTCTATGTGCCGGGGGGGTCACAGGCTGCCGGGCTGTTTCTCGATTTGTTTTCGGCCGGCGAACAGCTGTGTCCTGAGGTCTGTGCTTACTCAGCTCTCCTGGCACCATGCCCACTGCAGAGCCTGCAGGTATTCTGAGCGTCTCCTGCTCCTCCTGCACTGGCCATCACTCTGTCACAGTTCAGGGTCATCCAGTGCCTGGTGCAAAGTGAAGGCTCTCGACTTGAAGGGCTGCTGAGCTGGGTGCTTTAGCACAGCTGGGTCAGCCGAGTGCTGTGGGGATGGCTGTGTCCCCCAAAATTAGTTTGTGTGATGGAAAGGCTCAGGCTTGCTCTGCCCAGTGCCCTCTGATCCTGCCTCAGCAAGCTGCACATCTGCTTCATGGTATACCCAGAGAACAGTGTGGGAACAGCCATGAAAAAGGTTTATCCTTTCCACCATCACCAGTTCTTCCCTTGCAAGACCCCTTTGCATCAGGGAGATGGAGCTGCTAGTTCCCGACCCTTCCAAACCCTTCAGCACCTCTCCCTTCTGTCCTGGTTCTACCCATGCAAGGACCCCGAGTGGCAACTCAAGGAGGGCGGGGACCCAACACAACCCAAGCTGTTACAGCAGCAGGATTATTTCAGCAGCAAAAGCCTCAGCGTTCCCAGTGGCTGCCTGTGCTCAGTCAGCTGAAACCTGGTGGCAGATGCTGAGGTTTCTCCCGGCTCTCCCGTGGGCATGGCTGCCTCATCCCCCCCAGCTTTTGGGTCACTGAGCTGCCCAGTGCCAGATCTGAACAAAGCCTTGTCCAAGGTGGTGGATTTGTGTGTCTTGAGTCTCAGGGGACCCCGACTTCTATGGGGGCCTTGGGAGTGGGAGGATGTTGGGGCCCACTACGGGACAAATCCAGCACTGCCCCAGTGCCATCAATCCAGGTGAAGTTTTCTGGTGGGATTGGGGTTTGGACGCAGCAGCAGGGCCCCAGAGCAGCTGTCAGGACATAAATACCAGCCGTGTGAATCAGCAGCGTCTCTGCCCATTCCCAGAGCAGGGAGCAGCCATGCCAGTGGCAGTTTACCAGCTCCCAACGAACCGGGCAGCTGGTGCTGGGCACTGAACCCCCTGTGGCAGCATGTTTTCCCTTTTGGGAGGAGACAAGGTGGGCAGGGGGCAAGATGCCCTGCGTCAGGGCTGGGCTTGGGGTGATGGGGTTTGCAGCATATGCCAGCCCTGGCAAATGGGGAAACACATGTGGAGTGCAAGTGGCTGCAGCTGGAAGCGTTCTCCAGTCTAGAAACATGTCTGGTTCAAAGGTCCCCATTTCTGCCCCAAGGTACCTGCTGGCCTTGAGCACTTGTGTGAGTGCGAATGCACAAGAGAGCGCCTTGGCAAACGGTGTTGGCCCCGGGTTGATTCGGGCAAGGAGAAAATCCCTTCCCTTACCAAGAGCAAACTCAAATGCCTTGGCAAAGGGGCACAAAGGTGTTGGAGGTCCTGCTGATGCCTCTGGAGGCGTCAGGTTGCTGCAGGTACTGGTGACTGCAGGAGACTGGAGAGGAGCCTCCCTGCCGACGTGCCCTGCCAGGGACAGGATCTGAGGCAGGGGAAGGACTGGGCTGGCATGGAGGTGCCAGTCCCCAGGAAAGCCCAGAGCATCATGTTTAGCCAAGTTTTCCTAAAGCCCATTCTGAGTCCAGTCCCCTTCACCCACCCAGCTTCAGTCTGTGCTAGCAGAGGTGGAGGGATTGGAAACGCATGGCACCCCTGGTGTGACGGAAACAGGCAGGGGAGTGGGAAGGAGTGTGGGGCTCAGCAAAGACTCTGTGCGGCAGCAGTGGGGCTGGGCTCCTGCTGTACTCCCTCTGCCCGGTGAGTTAGCTGCACAAATCACCCTGAGGATTGTCCCTGGGGCAGGTGTGTGCATGGCAATTCTTCCTCCAGCTCCTCCCTACTACTCGGAGCCCCCTGGGAGGATGACTGGGAGGAGGGGGGATGCTCCCAGTGCTATGCCAGGCTGCAAACACATTGTCTTCATCATCCTCGTGCCACAGGACCCATTTGGCATCAGATGGGGGATGATGAAGGGGCTGCATGAAAGCCAAGTGCTGGGATTCTAAAGAACACCTACGTTTTGACACACTGAGTAGAAAGTTTAGTGATGGGGAGATTTTAGGTCAGTTTTCCTGCCTGCTAACAAGAGAGGGGCAGAGGGAAATAGAAAAGGGGGAAAATATGAGGGTGTGCAGGGCTGGGGGTGTCACACTGTGCTGGGTCTCTGTGCAGTTTTCCCCTCCACCCTGGCTGCTTTCCCTCGAGGGCCCTGAGCCATAGCTGTGTAGCTATTTAGTTAAATATTAAGAGCTCAAGTAATAGGGAACCAGAAACCTAATTACACACTGCCCTCCATGGCACAGTGGTTTCTGGTGAAAGCGGAGCAAACGCGTCCCCTTGTGTTACAGGAATGTTGTGCTGCTGCTGGAGTGATGGCCAAAATCCAGCCAGACAGTGAGTGCTCTGGACACCTTGCAGGTGGGAGATGCCACACTGCTGCACAGGGAATTTTGGCAGCCCCTGGCTCCATGGTGCCCACGCACTGGGTCTGGGGGCCTGCAGTTGAGCTCAGCCTGTGGGGTACGGGCACCTCTGGGTGCTCCTCCATGTCCCTGAGCAATGGGAGCCCCCACTGGGGCTGGTTGGGACACACTGTCCTGGGATGGGGCAGAGAAAGGCAGGGCTGGGGGAGCTCTTCCCCACCCCATGGCAGGCTCAGCTTCCAGCTTGCAATGCGTTCATTCTCCTGCCTCCCAGTGGGGAAACTGAGGCAGGGGCCAGCCAAGGTCACCCACCCAGGGTCACAGCCACTGGGCACAGCCTGGGCATCCCTAACTGCCAAGCTGCCCACTGGTCGTTTTCCCACTTTTCCTGGCTGGGGTGGGCCCTTCTGCCCAGGTCAGCTGTGGGACAGGCTAGTTTCCACGGCTCATGGTTGTCTCTGCACGGGCCCCCCACTCCACATTCCACTGGTAGCAGCCCCACAGAGGCACCACAGCCTCCCAGCTCAGCCCAGTGCTCACAGAAAGTTGTGGGGCCACCATACATCCCACACCTCCCCTGCCCTCCATCTCCTGCCCAAAAAATAGCTGGAGCCGTGCTGTGTTGGGAACATCTTTATTTGGACAACGCCGCATCCATGAGGCAGGCAGGATATGGCCTCTAAGGGCCTGTCCCAGCCCTGGGATCCAGGGCTCATTCTCATCATGAGGCTGCTCGCCAGGCGTCCCGCAGACGGGCCTTCACCTGAAACTTCTGCACCTGCAACACAACACCAAACTTGCCCTCCAGAGAGGGCAGGGGCTGGTCCTCGGGACACTCGAGTGTGAACCTCTGCAGCACCCAGGCCAGGAAGAGGAAGAGCTCCATCTTGGCCAGGACTTTTCCCAGGCAGACACGGATCCCGGCCCCGAAGGGGAGGTAGCTGGGTGAGGGCGAGTGGATGTGCTGGCCCTGCTCATCCAGGAAACGGCCTGCAAGGGGAAGGGGTACTTGCCATCAGCAGGGATCGAGACCTGCCTGAATTCATCACGTGTGTGTCCCTCCCGTGAGCTGCAGAAGCAGAGATGGTGCAAATGCCCCTGACGGGTGGGAACAGGATCTGACCTCCCACCACCAAGCCTCCCCCAGGGCTGCACCCACCCTGCCATCCCCTGACCCTGGGAAGGATGGGGGCAACCCACCAGGATTGAACTCCTCGGGCTTGTCCCACTCCTTCTCGTCATGGTGCACAGACCAGAGGTTGATGATGACCCTGGCACCTTTGGGGATGGAGTATTCCCCAATGCTGGAAGGCGAACACAGAGTGAGACAGTTGCTCCCTCCCACAAGTCACTTGCCCACAACCTGGCTGCACCCCCGCGGGGTCTCACCTGGTGTCAGCAAGGGACACATGTGGGATGAGCAGGGGAGACACGGGCCGGATGCGCAGCACTTCACTGATGGTGGCCTCCAGGTAGGGCAGCAGTGGGCGGTCGCTGAGGTGGGGGTGTCGAACCAGGCCAATCTTCTGGTCCATTTCCTCCTGAATCTTCCTCTGGACCTGGGAAGGGAGCAAGGACTGGGGCAGGAGCCCAGGGAGGGGTTGCCCTGTGCACAGTGGGGTACATCCAATCATCACCACCATGTCTTGTCAGGTTGTGCAGGGCAGAAGTAAAATGGCCACAGCCTGATCCTGCCTGTTTGCGGGGCCTGACATCTCTTTTGGCATCTGCCCTCCCCCAAAGCCCCTCACGATGTCCCTGGTGCAGGAGGGAACTCAGGCCTCCTGCCATGGGGTGCAGACCCTACCTCAGGGTAGTGGAGCAGGTAGAGCACAGCCCATTTGAGAACAGTAGTGGTGGTCTCCACGCCAGCCCCAAAGATGTCCCCCACTGTCATGAGGAGGTGGTCGTCAGTCAGCTCCAGCCCTGGCACCGGGGGGCTGCTGTTCTCAGCACTGAGCCTCACTTGCAGCAGGGCATCCATGAGGTCCTTCACAGTGTCTCCAGAAAAGGCTTCCTGCCAGGGGACATGTGTAAGCTGGGCTGTCTTGGGCATATCCCAGCTCCAGCACCCTGCAGCTCCTAAGCATCTCCCTGTCCTGGCCCCACTGGCACCTTGTGTTCAGTGAATTTCTGCTGGAGCAGCTGGTCCCGGACCTGGAGGCATTTTTTCAGCAGGGCCAGGTCCTTGTTGGGGAAGATCTAGGGGAGAGAAGCCACATTACAGCAAGGGACTCCAACTGAGCCCAGCCCAGCCCCTGCAGGTACCCAGGCAGTCTCTCCATGCCAACCAGGATACTGGGATACCAGGGCAGGAACCCTCCTAACTCTGGGGGGCTCCTTCAGGACACATCCCAGCTCCTTCCTCTTGTCTGAGGTGAGAGGAACAGGCAGTCCCCATGTCCCTGCTCACCTGGAGCCAGGGGAAGATGTCCACCAAGCTCTCCTTGGCCACGGTGTCCACGATACCCTGGCTGTACTCCAGCATGGCCTCGAACTCGGGGTCCCCGCGCCGGTATGAGGAGTTGAAGCAGAGGGAGCAGACCACGTTGGTGACAGCCCGTGTGAGCTCAGGGGCCATGTCCAGGGCCGTATCCTGCGCAGCACTGAGCGTCTCGCACAGGGATGCAGCCTCCCGGCAGACTGAGGTGGGGGAGAGGCAGGCGAGGGGGTGCTGAGGTGGTGATGGTGAAGCCAAGGGGTGAAGGGGGCAGCTGGGGGCTGGAAGGAGGGGTCCCTACTCATTCAGGGTGTGCTTCCTGCAGAGCACCCCCCTGCCAGGGCTGAGCCCCAAGGGCCTGGGATGGGCAGAAGAGACAATGCTGGGTGCTGGGAGGAGGAGGGTGGATGGAGACATGCAGGGAAGTCTCTACAGTGTGGCTCAGTGCTATTCCTGGGCGGAGCAAGGAATTGTGTGCCTCAATGTCCCCATCTATGACTGAGGGGAACTAAAGCTGGGGGCAAAAAATGCATGGGGAGAGGTGTGGGTAAAGTAGCAGGGATGGAAGGAGAGGAACCAAGTGCCTGCTCGGCAAGGGGATGCCAGGGGGGTTGAGCTGAGTCAGGATCTCCCCTTGGTTCCCAGGGAATCAGAGGTTCCCAGGGAATCAGAGGAAGGAGAAGTCCAGCCTAGGTTAAGTGCAGGAGGGAGCCAGAGCTGGGAGGGAGCCTGGGGGCTGGTGGGAAGCACTTACTGATCCTCTCGAGGGCGAGTGAGCCCTCCCCAAACATGGAGAGAGCAGTGTGCACCAGCTTGCGCTGGAACTTCCAGAGGGGCCCGTAGCTGGCGAAGGCGATGTCCTTGCCACCCCGGGACAGCAGGTCTGTGGTCACCTGGGGGACAGGCAGTCCCAGGGTCACCCTGCTGCAGGGCAGCTCTGTGAGGGTGACACCTGGGGGGATGGATGATCATCTCACCTCATCCCAGGGATGGTCTGAGGGGCTGGGGGTTGGCACAGGCAGACAAAGCCCGGGCTATGAGCTTTGCTTTCCCCCCTGCCAAGGACTGATAGAGGCGTTTGGGATCAGGTGCCACGGTCAAGGGCTCTAGGGTGCCCAGGGAACTTAGGGGGTGTGGGGAGCCTGATGATACCTGAACCCATGTCCCCATGTCCCAAGATGCAGCCAGCTGCGGGGAAAACAGGCACCCTCGGGATGGAGGATGCCCAGGGTTCACTCTGGGGAACGAGGCATTTGAGGGGCTGCCCTGCCACTGGCTTGCTGTGGGCAGGATGGGGAGAGGAGAAGGATCCGGCTGGGTGCTGGTGCCTTTCTTGGGAGCAGCCCCCGCTTCATCCCACACCACCGTGGGAAGGGTCCCCCCAAAACCTGCCGCCGACTCACGGTGCGGGGCCGTCCGGCGAAGTCTTTCCCCTTCTTCAGCAGCACCTCCCTGGCGTGCCGGTAGCTGTTCACCACCACCACGTAGTGGGAGCCCATCCAGAGGGCGTAGAGGCTGCCGTAGTGTCCCTGCAGGCGCCACAGCCGCAGGTGGAGCTGGGGGTGCCCGGCCAGCTGCAGCAGGCTCCCCACGAACGGCAGGGCCGGCAGGCTCCGTGGGCGCCCCAGCCCCGTCCCTGTCCCTGTTCCCGAGGGGTCCCGCCGTCGCGCCAGCCCCCATGTGCAGAGCAGGGCCAGGGCCAGCAGCAGGGCGCCCAGCAGCGCCATGGCGGGGCCGGCTGAGGGGCTGCGGCAGCGCGGGGGGCCCTTATAGCGCCGGCGGGGGCCGCGCCTTGACCCTGAGGCGGGCTCGGCTCCTTATCGGGGGGACGGGGAGGGGGGAGCCGGGCCTGGGCCCGTGGCCAGCTCTGCAGCTGTGGGCACATGGCGGGGGGCGAGGGCAGCGGGGCCACGGCCGCGCTGGGTGGCCATGGGGGAGCTGCATCCAGCGGGCTGGGGGCCAGGGGATGCCCAGGGTTGGGTCTGTCCTTGGGGTTCCATCCCCAGGGCCCTGTGGGGGGTGAGGGGACAGCCGAGCCCTCGAGGTCTGTCCTGGGTGCCATGGGCACAGCTTGGGGCGTTCGTGGCACACTGGGGTCCGTCCCCACCCTGGGAGCACCTCGATGTGCCAGGGAGGGAATGGGCAGCACAAGTGCGGAGGGCTGGGCAGCGCTGGGCAAGCACTGGGAGTGCTGAGAAGCTCTGGACAACACTGGTCAGGGCTGGGAATGCTGAGAAGCCCTGAACATCCCCGGTTGTCAGCCCTGGTCAGTGATGGGGAGCAACGGGCAGCACTTGACAGTGCTGGGCAGTCTTCACCAGTGCTGGTGAGGACTGGTTAGTGCTGAGAAACTCTGGTCAGTGCTGGGCAGAAACTCAGTGCTGGGTAGCCCTGGGCAGCCTCGGGATGCCCGTGCCCGCGGTGATGTCCGAGGCTGACGTGTCCTGGCGGAGTTCCTTGGGAACAGAAGTCCCTCCCAGCACTGCCCCCACTCACCGCGGGCCCTTCGCCTTCAGGATCCTTATGGCCCCCGGCGCTCGCCGTAGCGGCTCCCGGGGGCGGGCGGGGCGGGGCAAGATGGCGGCGGGGGGCGCGGCGGACGCCCAGGCGCGCTTCGGGCACTCGGTGAAGGGGCTTCTGACGGAGAAGGTGACAAGCTGCGGCACTGACGTGATCGCCCTCACCAAGCAGGTGCTGAAGGGCTCCCGAAGCGCCGAGGTGAGCGGCGGGTGACGGCGGACGGCCGGTTACAGGGCCCAGGCGAGCCCCACCGGTGCAGAGCGGAGCGCCGGGAACGGCGGCGTGGGGCATGCTGGGAGCTGTAGTCCAAGGCGAGGACACATCCCCGTGTCGGACAGGGACCGGAAAGCGGGACCGGGATGCGGGCACGGCTGGGCAGCGCCGCGGGGCTCTCGGTGCCTCTGGCAGCGCTGGGAGGCGGGAGGCTGCCTCTGCCTCACGTTGTCTCTCAGGGTGACCGACGGGAGCGGTGCCTCAGACGCTCCCTATGGATGTTGGTCTCAGGGCACCGCGGTGCTCCCCGGGGTGTCACCCCGAGTGTCACCCTGCGAGCCGTCACAGGGGCCTCGGGAAATGCAGAGCTGCTGCCTCACAGCCTGGTCTGTGCATTTGTCTTTTAGCTCCTGGGTCAAGCTGCGAGGAACATGGTGATGCAAGAAGATGCCATCCTGCACTCGGAAGACGTAAGCTGTGTTCTGCTCGAGCAAGAGCGATTCCAGGGACAGGAGCAGGGGAGGGTGATAAGAACAGTTTGCAGACATGCTCGCGGAGCCCTGAAATGAAATACATGCGTTAAGCAGGCCTGGTGGCCGAAATAGTTTGGTGCTTCCTCAAACCCACGGGTGCCACTGGCCCCCCAGTGCCCTGCAGCCTGGCCAGCTGGACTTCTCTGATGGGAAGCTGGAGGGACTGTGGGCTGAAACAAAGCACTTATATCTGTGCCTGTCATTGGGAAAGAAGAGGAGAGTGTGCCACTGCTGACAGATACTGGCGGGGGTATTTTGTAGGCAGTGCAGTGATACAGTGATGGCTGTGACTCCCCAGGGTATTGGGACAGCTTGCACTGTGATTTTGCAAGCATTTATTCTTTGTTTTGTTCTCCACAGAGTTTAAGAAAAATGGCTATAATAACCACTCATCTACAGTACCAGTAAGTAGGGGACACCATGTTCTCTCTCAGGGATTGAGTGGATCCCTCAATCCTTTTCTGTTCTCCTTAAAGACTTTGCATGAAGCCCACTCAGACCGATCCCTCTTTTCCAGTTCTTCAAAGCTGAGCAGACCCTGGAGCTGGAATTTTCCAGCCTTCTTCAGCTCCACTGGTACAGCTCAGGCTGTTCTGGAGTGGGAGCTGAGATTTCTGCCTCCTGTTTGCCATGTACCATGTCGCCCATGAGCATGTGTGACACATCTGGGGCTAAGGGGAAGAAGCCAGTGCCACTGCTGTCCCTTAGGCCTTAATCCAGAAACAGGGGATTTCTGTGTGTCTCCTGAGCCATTGTTCAAGTACCTTTTCTTTAACATAACATCATGACTGAGATTTTGTTTTTGTAATGCTCTTTTTATCTTTCCTTTTCTCATCTAGGCAAGAAGCAATTCAGAAGAAGTGAGTACCACTCTGGGGGACACGTGGGTGTGGAAAGGGAAAAATGATGGAGTAGGATGGCAGAAAGCAGAGTGGAAAGGTGTTTGCAGCTGCCTTTGAAGCAGATGCTGGCCCAGCAGGATAGTGTTTCAGTATTGTGAAGAGATGGGAATTTGAGTGAAGAGGTGGGATTTATACCATCAATTTATTCATTGACATGATAGAGCCTGTGAGGTTGCTTGTGATAGGAGATGGGGGTGGTGTGGAGCAGAGCTGTGTAGAGCAGGGTGCACAAAGTAAGGCTTGCCTTGTGGGGCATGGAAGTGGGTTGGGGAGCCTCAGGGTTTCTCTTTGCTGTAGTGTCAGCACTCGAGCTGCTCTGGTCCCTTGGGCACAGGCAGCACAGCACAGTCTGGGGAGCAGATCTCACTCTAAATCTCCTCTTGGTCCCCAGCGTCGAGCGGTCGTCAAACCTTCAGGACCAGCTGAATCACTTGCTGAAGTGAAGGGGAGCCAAAGGCATGAGGATGTCTCAACTGGCACTGAGGGAAGCAAAACATCCTCTACCATCCAGCCCTGGGGTTCAGAACTATGTCTGGATCATGCTGGATGTCAGCTGGAATATGTGTAGAGTCTGTGTTTCTGGGCATGTGGTCCCCTTTTATGTGCCTCCATCCACACCTCTGCTCCGGAATGCTCACCTGTGCCCAGCTGAAACTAACTCACCTGAAACTTTGCTCCCTCCAGCAATTCCCGTGTCCGCTTACTTGCCATGTAGGGTGAGGTGCTCTGCTCACACCAGCAACCCTGGAAAGAAATGCATAGAGTTGAGCTGTGGGGTTTAAATGCAGGTACTTGCAGCTTGCCACTGGTCTGTATTTAGCCACAGAGGTGGCACAGAGTGCAGTTTATTTAGGGCATGTTAATCAGTGGGAGCTGCAAGTGCCTGGGTGGGTGAGAAGTGCTTCAGTGTTGGCTGAGGTGCCAGTCCCAGCCCAGAATTTCTGAAACCAGGAATCTGGGCACACACCTCTGCCAGTGGTCTAGCTGGATGTTGTTTGGCCAGCATCCTGCTCGGAGGTTATCTTATTTTCCACTGTGCCAGAATTTGGAATGTCAGCCCCTTGCCAGCCCATCTGCGCTGCATTCAGCCTTCAACTGCATTCTTTTTCCTGGGCTGCTGCTCCAGCTATTGATGAAGCAGCCTTGGCTGTGGTGTGTGTTTGTATCTGGTTGGGAAGGTATCCAAAGGCCCAGCTGGGAAGTAGGCAGGAGAGCATCATGAGCTGGTGTGCCCAGTTCTGCACCGCTCTGTTAAGGACTAGTGACCTGTTCACATCCTGGGGAGTTACACCAGGCCCAGGCTATAAACACTGTGTCTTGTTTTTGATATGTCACTTATCTGGAGCACTTGGAGTGCACGGGAAGCACTTGTTTCCCTGAGTGTGCTTTTCATCAGCTGATAGGAGCAGTCAGGCTGAGAGTGGGCATTGGCCTGCCACATTCCTGTTGGAGTGCTGCTGGGGTTTGGCTCCTGTGCTGCAGAGCCTTCTCCTGGGCTGGATTTCACCATTCTTGCCAGGGCCACTGCCTGTCTGGGCTTCACAAAATGGCACCACAGCTCCTGCATCCCCATGAAGGTGCCACTGTTAGCCCAGGGGCCATGGTGGGTATTTTTGCCTTGGGTGGGGTCCTGATCCCCAGCTTTGCAATGGGAGTGAGGGTTTTCCCTGAGGTACTGGAGAAGCTGCAATATTCTTGCTGGGAATAAAAGCTGTCCTGAACACCACCAAATTGCACTGGAGTCTGTGCTGGATGCCAATGGTGGCAGTTCCTGTGTGGCAGGGAGACTGTTTGGGATGGTGGGTCTCTGCCCCCAGTGTCCCCCATCGTGCTTCAGATCAAGGGTCTTTGCAGAGGCACTGTGTCCTTGTTGCAGGTGGCTCATCCCCTCCAACGTCCTGTCCTCTGCAGAGGCTGGACCAGCCCTGTGGCATTAAACTTATATCTCCCTGCATTTGGGGCGAGCAGGGACAGGGCTGCCCCACGGAGGTGCAGAGCTGTTGGGGGGCAGGCAGCAGAGTGAGTTTGGGGTTGTGGATGCAGGCACAAACTGAATGATGGGGTCATGCCCACCATGGGAGCGGGGCCAGCTCCCCTCGCCGTGCCTGTGCGCCTGCAGTGCCATGTGCCCGGGGTCTGGGCGAGGCAGGAGCTCGTGTCGGGATGGAAGCCAGGCGCAGGGTGGCGTGGGATGCCGGGGCGGAGCATGGCCCGGGCCGGGCAGAGTCCATCCGAGGCGCTGGAGCTGGAGGCAGTATGGCAGCTAGGGGCCTCTGCTGCGGGTGCTGGGACCACCCTGGGGGCACCCTCAGGCCAGAGGGCTCTCTGCAAAGCAGAGAGAGGGGGTTTACCCTACAGGGTTGTTTTGGAGGGTCATCCCTTCATGGCAACTGGGAGGGTTTTTTGGGGGGGGGGGGGGGAACTGTTGTTAGGTGCCCCCAGGACTGTCCTACTAGACTGCAAGTTTTGGGGTGTCTCTTTAGGTTCTGCTGGGGGAAAGCAAAAAGTGCTCCGGTATCTGGGGGAAGAGGTGGGGTTTAGAGCCTTGAGGAGGGCCTGAT